AAAGCATGGAATTATTGATCTGAGTATTCTGCGATAATGAGGAAAACTGCCGCCAGACGTAAAACTAAGACAGTCGATGGTGACGATGTAAAAAATAAACTTTTATCTTTCATATAGGGTACCTACATTTTTTTTTTCCAAACAGTAACAAAGTTTTATCGGCCAAGACGTACTTTATCAAAGTGCAGATTTAGAAAGTAGAGAGTAATTAAGTTTGTCTTATTTAAAAACTGTTCTCTTTTTTGCTTTTTTTTTTTTTGTCTGAAAAAAAAGTTAAATTAATATAGTGTCTGCCGCTTTTATTAATAAAAACAAAAACGCAGCAAAATCTTTTTTTTATCGTTTAACAGGGTGAGCAGCTTGATTACAAAATTACGAAACAAGGCCTTGGCTACTTACGGACATTATCCAATCTTGAAAAAAGTGTTACTAAATTAAAACAAAACTTTTATCTCAATTTTATACCAAACATCGGCTACTGCGTTCAACAGTTCAACAGTATTCTCAGTATAATTATGGTGTCCAATCTACGTGAATTTGTTTAGTTTATAAAAGAATAATTCATAAAGAAAGTAACCAACTTGTTTTTGTTTTAGCTATTGTTCAGCTAAGCTAAGCTAATAAGCGAAAACGAATAAAATAAGATTAGGTACTTTTACTGCTAAAAAAATAAATACATTGCACATGTGTTCGCGTGTCTTATACTTATTAGCGTAACTCAATGAGATTTAACAACAATGGTCGTTAACATTTGGATTTTATTATGAAGACCATTTGTACAAGTGTAGTAGAACGTGACTATAGTATAAAAAATTTTAATTAGTCTTATTGACGCTTAACTAGCACGAGTGTAATATCGTGGAGATTTTCAAGAGGAACAAAAATACAATGAACAAACAAACCAACTCAATCTTGGAGCCGTGCACTTGTTAACCGGCTGGCCGCCTGTTTATAGCCTGGTACTAATACGTGTGTACCGCTGGCATAAAGTGAAATAAATTACTCGCGGTGGGAGTGGAACGCAATAAATTGTAGCAGACAAAATAACAGATATTTTAGCTTCGTGAAAAACCTTTAAGGGTAGGACGGCGGAACGGCCAGGGCGAAATGAGAACGGTCGGGTAAACCAGTGAAGACTAGAAATGTTTTATATCTCTCAGCGGTGGTCGCATTCTAAACGCGGAGAGGAAAAATATAAATCCTTTTTACGCGTCAAAAACGTTTAACACGTACCCACTATTATTCTACACGAAATAATCACGGTCGCGATGAATTCATTAGCGGCAACAAAATAAAAGTTGAGAGAAAATATTTTTGGAAAAATTATCAAAATAATAATAATAAAAAAAAATACAAGTTACTGACAATACGGTTTTATCTTAGTCCCCCTAGTAGGACCACGATTCAATTCAGTATAGTCTCACGCATAAATATGAGTAATTTTTTTTTATTGTTTTCATTTTTTACTTGGCCACTGCACGACGTTTGGGTCATGAAAATACATTTCGCACATAGCACAAAGGCCCAAGCGAAATTCCTCAAGAGTTTGCAGAAATTGCAGTATAATATGCGATGACGTTCATATTATATAGACTACAAGTTTACACAATTCATAAAGTTTAATCTCAAAACAAAACTAAAATTACAAGAAATCGCAAAGTCAAAGTTTAATTAATTTAAACCGTCTTTCAAAACATTCAACCGAACCATTACCACCACAGTCAGAATATTTAATTTAATTAAAACACGTTGGACCATATATGGCGATATTATAAAACAGAGAAACGCCGTATAATGACTTATTTACGGAATCTTGGATAATTTGTTTTTCTTTTGTCTACACTTATAGTTTATAACCCCTGTTAAACGCTTAAGGTTTTACGAGCACACGTACGTACATATAATGCATTACTTAATATACATTACTTAGTTATATGTGAAAGTTTGGCTACTACTTTTCTGATTAGCTGTTAAATTGTTTAGGTCGTAAAATTTAAAGAGAAATTCAAACATTTTCTACATTGACCTTTTTGCACAAACGTTTTTATCGTAATTGTGTTATTTTCATTCAATTTGATTATATTTTTAAATTCGGGGCGATGTGGACACCTCAGCTGCCGCGTGACACTTGAGGTTAAGCTGTGTCCGTTGCTGCTTGATCCCGGATGGGTGACCACCCGGGATTTATTTAGCGGCGACCCATACCATTAACCCCCGATATGCATGGCAGACATGCCATGCGTCCTTGTCGACCGAACTGACACAAAAAAATATATATATTTTTGTTAATTATTTTAATCATCCATCTATCCAATCGCTACATAAATATAAATATATAAAATTTGTTTTCAATTTGAACTACATTTTGTAAACTGTTAAAATATATAATCCGATCAAAATGAAAAGTTATTGATTATTTCTACAAACGAAAATGCTATCGCATATTTTTCAATAATTAATTTACAATAACCGAATCTGGTCCTAAATAAATATTTATTATAATTTTAAATTTCCAAATTATTGTTTTACCAACCTACGACGTAGTATAACGGAAATTCGATTTCGGATAAATAAACAATATAGGTAGATTAGAAATTATAAAAGTGGACTACAAAGTACAAACGATTGCTGTGCGGCTGAATACTTTGTGAGTATTCATTAAGAAGTAGGCGTAAGTGTGAGCATAATATTATAGGAAGCAATATTATATTATATGATACTACCATAGTAATGAAAGTATAATGTAAGAGTACCTTGCAGTATTCAATGTTACATGAAACTAATGTACTAATGTACATATATATAAACAATTGTATAGGTGAGAATATTACAAGGAATAGTGGCATACCTGAAAAAGATGAAGTCCAACAATAAGGAAAACCGCGTGATGTGAACACTAACGACTAGCCGAAAATCATTCAATGTGTAGCGAACAAAAACTACGGCTGCAGCCAGGAGATAATTGTTTCGCGAGGAACTCATCAAATATTAATACGCATCTAAGGTGGTTTGTTTGAGTGCAAAGATACACAAGTGGTGCGGCGATTTCATGATAATTGTATTTTCCATTCGAATTGTACACATATGGTAATGGTATTCGATAAAAGATAAACCACCACTGTTGATGACGTCGCGTCGAGTCAAAAAATATAGTCTGGAAAATTATTTCCATTCCCTCCCCTCCCCCACGATTAGTGATTATCTATCAATTTGAATAATAATTATTATTATTTTTGTATATTACATTTTTATAGATACTTTAAAGGTAACAACTCAGTTGGCTTACCACGCGAATTAACATTATTGGGTATTGTTTTTGAAACAGTCAGTTCATATCACACAACAATAATTACAAACACTGTCAGTTACGATGCACATATTTTATCATCGGCTAGCATGCGGATACGATGTGGGTAACATAAAAACAATAAATACCACAAGAATTCCGGTCGATATGGATTTCATTATATACTTGTTAATCAAGGAATCGGCACGTTTGACATTTTCTTATTAAGACTATTCTCTAATATAGAATTATTACTCGTCTAGCATAGAAATACACCTCACAGAAAACAATAAGTAAGTCGTCTTTTATTTTTACGCCGTAAACGTAAAATACAATTACTTTAAGACAACACAACGCAAGCTAGCTAAATTCTTCTTTCATCACGCATATCAAATTTCCAAAGACTTTGATGCGACTTATTTTTGCTTCCAAACTGGTAAGTTTTCGTGGAAGATGACAACATAAAATCTGGATAAAGTATAATTTAAAAACTATTTTTTTTTAAGTAACTAACTTATTTTTTGCAGCTTTTCATTGTAAATACGATCATTGTGCACCTAATCAAGTATGAGTTTACCCAATTATAATTTGATACTACTCTTACAAATTGTCACTCAGTAGAATAATAAAATATTTATCTTTTGGAAAGTCTTTGTCTTTATTCAATCTGAATAATGTTATTCAGTTAAATAAACTGATATTTTTTTACAGAATATATTTATACATACTAAATTTAATATTGATTGTGACTTAACTATTAAAACTTTTATGTACATTATCAAACAAGTATTATTCATGTTTATACATTTTCCATCACAATACAACAATAACAATTGGAAAAAACCTCGTACACGAGTTTATTTATTTTGTCTGAGAATTAATTCTTAAATAATTCATTTAAATCCGTGACAGCTTCTTATAAGATTTCGTCGACTGTGATTTTGTTTTTTATTTTTTTTTGGCGAACACGGCCATATTTGAGTTTTAGGCACAATTTATGTAAAATACTAAATTACCTGCTGTTCTGCAGGCAATTCGTGTTTATATTTTAGCTACCTGACATTTTAGGGGCATGCATATTGTGTGCACTGTATATATATAACGACTCGTTTGCGTGGGTTAGACCTTTTTTCCCCACATAATCGACTCATTTGCGTACACATCTATTACCTGAGTTTAGTTGGATGACAACGTCCGATTAGCACGACGATAATGTACTTAGCGGTTGTAATAAGTAACGATAATAAGAGAAAAAATTAGTGCGATTAAAAATAATTTAAAATATCACGAATTTAGAAATATCATAAAACGAGATAATCGGAAATATTGATTCACTAACCAAAGTTACAAAACTAATTTAAACCACGATAACTGTAAAATATGTGAATTTTAAATGAATCTAAAGCTTTGTTTCGCAATTTTTTTTAATGTGTTAATATACATTTATTTTTTTAAAAACACCATTTTCAAACAAAAGTCTTTTAACAGGCAAATACAAATATTGTATGAATTTAATGTGTATCGTTTTTGAAAGTTTTAAATCAGTCAATTATTTTAATTAATATGTTAGTGTAAGGTTCACCTGTAAATTATTACAAACAATGATATTTACTTGCAAATGTGTTGTCTATTATTCATTATTTTGTGCGTAAATGAGTTGTCATAGATAAATATGTGCAAAGTAGATGTAGCCTCATAGTAGTAGCAAGCTTACCTGTAAATTTGGAGGACAATGGTCCAGCAACTCTAGCATGTGTCTTATGTTTTGAGCGTCTTGAATGATAAAATTCAATTCCATGTCGAACTCGCCACCAACCAACTGTAACAAAATCGAATTATGTGATAAATTAACTTTGAATGTATACATTTTAAAAGAAGGCCAATAAACAAGTTCCATTGAGGACGGGGAAGTCTCAATTTTTGCAAAAAGATGACTTAGGAGATAGGAGATGAAAACTTACGTAATCAGGTTTTGAGGGAACTCATCGGTTTTAGCAGATATTATTTATCCATAAATAAAATTATAATTGATATCTTAATTGTGTTCATAAGTCAGGATAAAAAATCGAACTACTCAATTACTTGAAAACATGCATCCTAACTGCTTAGGATATTTGTATTTTATAATTTCCTACACGAACTTGTTTCAAGTATTAGTAGAAAACGTAATCAAGATTTTCTTCTAAATAGATTTTAATGCTCACATTTAAAAATAAAACTTTTGCCATCGACCAAATATTCTATTTTTAAAATATAAAAATGTTGTGTTTATAATTAAGTTTGAAACGTACACTTGTAGTTAAATATCTACAATCGAATAAGCTGTTGTTTGTGATAGTGTGCATTGTGTTTCAATATAATGAAGTGATGACAGTTATGACAATTAATCTAGGATTACTTGAATTAAGAATAATCCGTTATTCCAATACGTCGGACTAATGGATTACAAATAATCCAATACGGATTACAATAAATCCATCATGAATTACAAGTAATTCATTAATCCCGGATTATTGGACTATATTTGTATTAATCCACTTTTCCAATATGATGGATTAATGAATTACAAATATCTATTATTCTAATAGGTCAATTGGATTACAAATAAGAAAAACAGGAAAACTTTTTCTGTTGTTTCCCCTACCTATTTCTATTAATCCTGAATTAATAATGAATCCGTAAACTAGGGATTACTGGATTAATAATGCAATCCATAATCCGTTAACTAGGAATTACTGATAGAAATGTAATCCAATGTTTATTATCCTAGATTAATACCAATGCAATCCGTAATCCGTTAACTAGGAGTTAATAAATTAAATATTATCCTTAATCCAAATAATTAGGATCACTGGAATAAATGTAATGCAATTTTTTTTATTAATCGTGGGTTACGATTAATCCGTAATCCCTCTGTAATCGATTACGGATTGTAATCCATTTTGTCCATCACTGGTTACAAGTGATTTTTATAAAATTATACAGCAGAACTTATCCTCAAAACTTATCCTTAAAAATATTTGGCAGTTTGGAGTATAAATTAATTTTTGCAACAAAAAATGTAACAAAATGACAATTTAATTTAACGCACGAGTCATGCTGGAACCCGCTCAATATAGATAAAAGTTTCCCTCGTTATGCCAATCAACTTGTACGTCTATTAATACTAGAGTAATCGATATTACCTCACACGTACATTAAGTAATAAATTATCAGGTACACGAGTACAATCCATTTTGATGAGGGTACTTGCCATATTATAAACGTCAGTCAAGAGTGGTTTAACGAACCGAATGCGTTGTATATGATTATTACTTACTATACAATAATATAGCAAATCTAAACATATTATACTTCATGTTGAACGCAGTAAGAAGTTTAAGATTTAGTTAGACATATAGATCTAAATATAACATGAATTTACAGTGATAGAAATCCCCATATTTAATATTTTTTAAATACTTAACAAAACAAACGGAAAATGGCGAGTAAGATTAAATGCAAAAAATGTTATAATATTAACAATATAAATATAAATTGACTCGAGATACTTTTATAAAGTCCCATCCACTTTCGTACATCAAATGCGTAGGTAAGTTCAAAATGCTTTCAAGCAACATTTTGCAGTCACGCACGCTGCAAACTGTAACAGAATCGTATTAACTTATTATAGTTGCAGCCTGAAGAAATCCGTAAAAGTAAAATAAAGATTTTCGGAAGGATTAATATGGCAACGATATCGTCTAGACCTAAGTTTACAAGAAGGTTTTTGGCGAGAACCACGTTGTTGTTAAACTCAAATTAGATTCACCGTTGGAAAACTTTTTAACAACTTTCGCAACAAATAACACCTAATTTGGATCAAAATAATGTTGGCAGTGTTATTTTCGTTGTGCATTCATATATGTATACTTTATGCTTACAGCAGTCAGTATGTAATCAGAAATAAAATAAAAGTTTAAAATAACAATTATTTGTATTTTTTTTTTCATAATACGCATTTATTAACAATTAATTAAAAACGGCTGTGTGCGTCTTACACTACAAGAATCAGATAGAATAATTCAGACAGGAATATATTAAATTAATGATTCGCTAATAAGGTGGGAATGTTTTAAGCTTATTTTTCGGTCATAAACAAAGTTCATAAACATTTCAATACAATTATTGATATGTTTTAAAAGTATAAATATTTTTTATGTGTAGTGTGAGATAAACTATTATTTTAAAATCATATTTTTCATAACTTGAGTATATTTCATAACTACAAAAAAAATCTGATAATTAAAACACGAAGAACTATAAAACCCGTCAATCCCTGCGTAACACACATAATACAACAATAGAATAATTATAAAAACGCGATGATGACTTACATGTTTAGTAATTTTACGCGTGAGCACTGTAGTACATAGATAGTGTACAAAGTAAATTGGAAATAAATTGGCACAATAATAATCGCTTTCTCGACAGCAAAATACTAGGGACAACTTTCAGCACCATTCTTGAAATTATCACATGATCAATATGTCGCGTCGTGTTCTCGGGGAAATATGTCTATATACATACATGCTGGTCATATTTAAAGTTGGCATTTAATATAATGTGAGTGAAAGTACAGTGAACAAGTCGCGTGTAACTGAGTTAACTACGATGGGTTTGCAATGAACACACGTGTTACGCGTGGTAAATGAATCAGATGTTGATTGGCGTTACCAACACATAGTTTTTCCCCGTATGCCAAACACGAACAATGAATGTTCGTTAAGGCATGAGAAGTGATAAGTCGACACTTACATATTGTACACGGTCGCCGGTACTGAACAGTATAGAGATGGAGAAAAATCATGCTGAATCTTCAATTGTATATTATATACTTATTGACATGTTACTTGTTCATGTCATACGTGTAATGTCATACCATGTTTGCACATAACATAATGTGAAGTTTGACTACAAATAAAAAAAATATATCGCTTTTTACCAAGTATTAGAGGAGGATTGTATTGTCATAAGTTTAAACAAATTAATTTTTTCGAAAAAACGTTCGGAATCTAGATAATTTAAACTCCTCAATATTTTTAATCTACGGTGTCTGTTGTATTTTATTACAGTATTTACAGTAGTATTTTAACAGGAGATTTTTTTCTTAACGGAATTTGAAAACGATTGGAATGTTAACAACGCAGTTGACTATAGCGATAATAAAATATAATATTTGCGCACAACTATAGTAAAGTTTTTATAAATTGTTTTATTTTTTGTAACAGTGTAGTACCTTTTCCAACAACCCTTATGAATTGTCGACATGTTTACTACAACCCTCGACATATCTGTGGTTTTAATTAGCATGAGTTTTAAAGTTATATACCAGAAACTCCACCATTGTTTTCTTCAACGAATCAAGGCCAGAAAAATAGCAGTTAAGGGAAAACAATATAAAACGAATACAAAAGGTCCTTATACACGTGCCTCATGATAAATTCACTTAAAAAATGTTTTACTGCTATTCATTTATATTTTTAATTGGCATTCCGCATCAAAATTGTATTATTATTTCCTAGTTACATTTACGTATTTCTATAATACTAAACCTCATTAAAAGTTCAAACAACGTATTAAAATCATATAAATTTTTACTGAATGTCAATATTAAAATTGTTTAACATCGCATAGACCTGGCCAAAGAAGTATAAGGAAATTTGAACAGTAGGTGGGTACAATTAACATAATCGGTATGAGGCCTGAAGGACAGAGATGGACTCTATAGAAATCCTAAATCATTGATCTCAAAAAGTCCATTTTGCGGCGTAAGACTAGACCGAGATAGTGGTATCTTTACCACAATAGTTTTTAGTTTATCCTTCCCAACCAAACGGCTCAGTGCCGGCAATTAATCCTCTCAGGATGCAGACACTATCACGACGCATCCTATGAATGGTGCTCGATTTTTATAGGCTGTATTCGTGAAGAAATCGGCCTAGTTATATAATATAGCAGCTAAAGTTATTACGGGTATAAAAAAACAACAAATTGTGATACCAACACCTTTTCGGATTTGCATAGAAGCTGAACAGATATTATGGAAACATTGTGACAATGGCGCTTTTGGCTATTTCGAACATATCATAACCGCTCGACCATCAAAACGAACTTAGACGACCGCGGCGGTCATTTTTTATTAATGTGTCGTAAAAATCGAATCCATAAAATATTTTTCCACACACACACACATAACTTGAGTACCTTTAAAATCACGTAGCGTCGTCATAACGTCATCGTCGTTAATATTATATTGTTATGATTATTACCGTCACGTGATGCTCTTTTTTCCCCTCTCTATCTGTCTGTCTACCGTGAAGAGAGTGTGAGAGAGAAAAGCGACAGACGGAAAATGAGAGAGTTTTTGCGGTACGCAAAATGATATCATGTGCGAGGTTTGATGGTATAAAGTTTTAACGGGTAAACAACGAATGCGCAAACACATTGTTAAGAGAGAAGCGGAAGTGCGCACACTATATAGAGTAGTGCGCTATAAAGGTTTTCATACTGTTTGCAGCAATTAAGATGGAAGAAAAAAAGAATCGACAGTTTTCCAACACATCAACTTGGATCATAGACGACGTTGGACGAACTCTCATTAAGAACTTTAACTCAATGCCATTGCAATGCGATGACGACTATTCTTTCACAATGTTACGAAACGTGAGAAATGTTAACGTTTCCAAACTCAGACAAAATATTATTCATAACTCATAAGTATATCGTACGTTACCGCGATATAAGGTAACACGAATAATAAAATAAATATATGAATGT